TATATATATATATATATATATATGTATAACTAATTTAATTATTATAACTAATTTTATTTTGATTAAAAATTTTTTTTTTCAATAATTATTCATAGAATTTCGAATTATTCCGCATGAAGCGAATTTCAACGATAGTGACGAATGTTTTTACCTGGGTGGATTGTAGATGGGCGCGGGTATCGGTCGCGGTTGATTCTGGGCCAAAGGTTGACGAGAGGCCGGATCGTATCGTTCTCCGTTGGTGTATCGAGGATCCGTGTAATAAATGGATGGATCCTCTCTGTATTGGCCGTCGTCCTCGGGTTGGTTGGGATTCGCGATGCTGTTACCGGTCAAGGTTGGCGGTGGCACGTTTATCCCAGGACCTGCTGGCTCGAATCCGCGCCTCGACGCTCCGTACTCGACCTCTCGGACATTCCCAGTATCGTCGACGAAACCGTACTTCCCGTACACCTCGCCAGTCGGGTATTTCGATTCGATCTTGTATGAACCATCCGCTGCCTCGTATCCGTAACTGTAGCTACCATCCTCATTGTGTCTGCATTGAATGCAATCCATTAGTATCTTTCACACATCTCAGTATTAGTATTTGAAATAACGTGTGTGTATTATTATTATATTTTTATTATCATTATCATTAATTAATATCATTTCTAATTAATTAATTAATCTTTATTATTAATAATTTTATGTACTTTTAAATACCAAACACCGCGTGATTTTGAAATAATAATTGAAATGTCGCGCAAGCATTTCGCATTTTCGAATCAGAGGGAAATTACGTAAATGCGCGGCAACAGGTGCAATTGTCTATCACTATTGCAGAAATGAACAGAAGCACGATTTCGCCCTTGAAATTTCAGATAAACGAAATTGTTCCAGATCATAGTCTACCTTGAGAATTGCACGAGGTTTCTACGACTGAGCATTCGTCTAGGTTAGGTTTCAGGCCAGTGAATCATTTCAGAGCAAGTTATTTAGACTAAGAATAAGTATTAAAGTAATACATTATTATTATTATTATTATTATTATTATTATTTATTAGAGTAAGTTATTTTGTCTTTTTCTAATGCCTTTCTTACATTTTTTTATTTTTTTGTTGTTAAAATAATGTTGTCCACCCCTGATCTATATCGTCGTGTAGAATATAGAAACCCAGGTTGCGTTAATTTTGAGAAAATAATCAACCAATGTAATAATTGAAAACGATTAACTTTGGCTTCGAGCTTGTAATCGTTCGCTTATTAAATCTCATCTGAAATCTGTTTCACGTTACCGTGGAAACTTGTTGCACGTTACTTCTTACAGTCCTTTCTTAAGTGTCTCGTAGTTTCTGTCGACTGGATTGCAGTCGAGAGATAAAGAAACAGGGCGAAAAACTATTTCGACGTGTCGTCACGTTCGATTGGTTCAAATCTATGTGCGTGACAGAAACGGAACAGTCGTTTAACTCACTTATTTATCTGCTTCAAAATGGGCACCGGCGTGGTCACGGAGTACCGATTGTCCTGGGCGAGCGCAAGGCCGATGCAAAACAAGAGAGGCAGCACCTGGCGACACACAAGTTTGCATGAAATCGCTGGCATTCGCGAATCACTTTCCAATAACCTCGCGCTGAGTGGAAAAGCTCGTGCAGTTCCGATGCAGCTATGCTTCGAATTATTCTCGCTGAATCGAAATCTCAAATCGCTACGTTCATGGGACTTTGTTGTGCAAATCTGCAGTTAGAAATTATATATCTAGATCTCACGATCGTGAGCATTACTCGATCAAATAAAAAATATATATATAAAAAAAAAAAAGAAAAAAAAATTGGAGACGTGTTCTTTGACGTTTTCAAAAACGTCCAAGTGTATTTTTTAGTGGACAAAATAAAGAGGGTAATTTGTACTTTATAAATTTAT